CGAATTGCTGCAACGGACACGTATTCAATTGTGGCGAACGCATTTCGTGTCTGTCTGCTCGGTCTACACTGAATGTCTATATTTTTGCGAGCATGAGTAAAGAAACAGCAATACAGCCGTGCGTAGTAGCTGAGCAGCATAAGAGCCCGGCATTTATTTGTGGCGCCACCATAACGCTGTCACAATCAATACAGACTTAAACACTAAGGCACACGCCCACATGGAGCTATAAAACGCACACAAAGCTAACAAGTGAGTTTATAAGTGTCTCTCATTGCATGCGTGTGTGTGTGCCCGTGCGTGTGCAGAGGAACAGAATGGAAGAGAGGGAGAGAGAGAGAGAAAGAGAAACTCGAGCTGGCACCAACTAGCTACACATTGCTGTGCGCCCATCAGCCAGACTCACGTTGAAGCGCACACAAATGCAGAGCTGTACGTATTACGCATACGCACGGTGCGCCGCCGTCTGTAACAGATGCTGCATCTGTTTGTGTTGCATAGTATTTGGCTTGCCCCGGTTTATGTTTAAGGCCCTGCATGCGCATAAATTTCATGTCATGTCGATTCATTGATTGTGGCAAATAACTGTCTGCTCGTCCAACCCATTGGACCTTGTGAATGCTAATACTCGACATCGCATCGCATCGCATAGAATAAATTTGTAGCCCAGCAAATTTCGTTTTATGTTTTTTTTTTTTTGCTGTTGCCGTATTTTATGCATTGTGGACAGTTTGGGTTATTGCTGCTGCTTTCATTATTGCTTTTGCAATTTCTGTGCCCGCTGTTGTCATTGGTTTAATAAAATATTAAGTACCGAATTCTCTCCCATATGAGCGGTCAAGCAACGCACAATTTATGTGGCAAATATTGAAAACGAGCTGAACAAATAAAATGCTGAATAGAGTACTCGGGCCTTGGTTTCGAATTCCAAATAGAAACACTTAACAATATCAAAGTTTCAAGAGCAATATTCATAGCCTTCACAAACACTGTGCAACAAGGTTAGAGACAATGTGATGCAAGTGAATTGAAATTGATTACGCATGACAAATGAAATTAAATTAACTGAAATCTCAAATGATGTGCATAATTATTACAGGCTCAAAGTGTATTCATTTGTATTGTTTTTTACAATACATATAATTTTTTATTATTATTTTTTAATCATAAAAATGTATAATATGTAAAAAAAATCACTATAACTGCAGAAAAAAATCTATCATCAATTATTGTTTTTATTTTATTTAACATTTCAAGTTTGCTACCGAAAAAGTTGCATTATGTTGCTCAGTGTAATTTCATACTATTTGATTTGCAGCAAATTCAAATGCTTAAATATTCTCTGACTATCAAAAGAGGCCTAGAAAAAAGAGTAATTATGCTACCAGCATAAGTAAGAGGACACACATGGGCGAGCTAAGCCAACCCAATCGTAAGGACTATAAAAACTAGAGCATTTAATTTTTTTTTGGCATATATGAAAAATGATGACATAAGCTAAAAGCATATTTCAGATTATTAGCCCTGTACACGCTCGTCCAGCGCTTATTAATTTCATATTTTTTATATTTATCTGCGCTGCGTGGAAATTAATAAATATCGTTAATCAGCTTTGGAGCTCTACTGGGGCCTAAGAATATCCAATTTGTTATGTAGGTCTCTGTGTGCATATTAAACAGACACATCTATATATATGTATATATATATATAGACACCCACACGAAAGTTAAATATCTCGTTTTCAGAAGGTAAAGCCTTCAATTTTGGTTAGTGCCCACATTTAAATGCTGCCAAATGCGGTCGCAACTTATTCATGTGTGAATTTTACATTGTGTGGAGCAGAAAGCATTAAGTGCGCAGCTTGCGGCACTCGTCTGTGTGTTCGTGTGTGTGGGAGTGTGAATATGTATAAACGGAAGTTTAAATGTTGCTGAAGGCAGCCGCATACTCGTCCATATAGGATAACTTATAGTCGCGCACATTTAGCAGATTGCCTATGAATGACTTGCATAAAAGTTTGGCTGTAATAATTAAGAATGATTTTGTGGGAATTGCGCTTAACTAAGAGCTACTCGAGCTGCCGAGCTACACCTGGCGACCCTATTACTTATACAGTAAATTTGGTAACTCCAGTTTGGAAGATGTGAAGAAGAAGATTTGACTAATGAGACTTAGCTTTGCCATCGATTTTGAATAAATATTTAAGAAGTGACTAAAGGGCGTGATTGGAAGCAGAAATTACTGAAAGTTGAGCTGCGATCGCTTTCAGTTTTGCAACAAATTCTGGTAGAATGAGGCAGGGAGAAACGGAGAATAATAAGAATAATTTAATACTTAACTATACGAATCATAAAATGGGTCTATCAAGCTATTATTGAGATAAACTTTGCATTTGCTATGAGCAACAAAATTTATTTTTTTTGAACGGAGCAGAAAATAATTTTGCTGTTTGAATTAATTTAATATTCTGGAAAAAGCTTAATACTTTATTAAATTTCTGGTAAAATCTTTTTCACATAGGTTAAAAGTCTTGGAGAAAATTAAAGTTATATATAACTTGAGCTGTATATGAAACGTACGGCAGACTATGGAAGAGGCAATATGAAATATGAAATATGAAATTATGAAATATGAAATATGAAATATGAAATATGAAATATGAAATATGAAATATGAAATATGAAATATGAAATATGAAATTATGAAATATGAAATATGAAATATGAAATATGAAATATGAAATATGAATGTTGCAATATGCAATCTGCAATATCACAGCAAAACTCAAAATACTAACTTATTTTATTAACCCAAAGATTATTGCTTCTCATATATGTATATAAACCAATATATATATGCATAAATATACATACAAATAAATATCTATATATTCTACATATATATTCAAATATTTGCACTTATATATGACCTATTTGGCTATTTGAATTGAACTTCTTTTTGAAAAGTTCAATATTATTTGGAAAACTAAGCTTAAGTACTCTTCTCCTTGAGTAGTCAAACAGAAATGCAAATATGAAAATAGAATATGACAGCAGCTAGCAGCTCTTCAGTGATAACAAGCAACGAAATGTATTAGTGGCATAAGAAGAACCAACTACAGAACTACTAACAAACAGCAGCACAGCATGCCAGAGAGAGAGATAGTGAGAGAGAGAGAGGTAGTGAGAGAGAGAGAGAGAGAGACAGGTAGATCTGAACAAGTTCTAAACAGAGGCAGAGGCAGTGGCCAAAAAAAAAAAGAATCCACTTATGTACATAGAAGTGCACGTCAGCTACATATGCGTGTGTGTGTGTGTGTATGTGTGTTTGAGACTGTATCTGTGTGTGTGTATCACGTACATTTATCTTGATGTCGTTTTGCAGCACTTAAACTACACTAACAACACACGTATACCACACGCACACACACACTCACACACGGACACACACACACACACGCACACACACACACACAGACAGTTCAGCTGCAATACTGTATGTATTACAGCCCCGTTGTCGTTAGCCGTAATGAAACGCAATGGACCTGCGTGTTAAGGGCCTCGTTGTGGTCCTCGTCGTGGACTCGTGCCAGTAGCACGCATTGCCTTAAATGCGAATTTTGCGCAAAGTATCCTTAACTTTAAGATACGCACACTCGAAACACTCTCGCATTCGTCATTTGGACACTTAGCCACACACGCACACCCACCCACACACACATACACACACACACAGATAGGCAGGGCTGTGCATGGGATTTGTATTTATGATGTGCACATAAAGTACCATAAAATGAAGACAATACGTAGTTGCATCAACAATACCTTCGGCATTATCGTAAGTAGAGAACAGTCTCAGCTGCGACCCAGATATTTGGCGAAAACCTTTGCACATTCACCAATGTATTGGCTGGCATTGTGTCTAGTTCTATCTACAAGGCTCATTCATGGCCATCGCTTAGTTCATATCGCAAAGGCGATTTTCAGTTATTTTGAACAGCTCGAATGGTTTATGCCTAGGACGAAATGGCGCAATCAATGATGAGCTGAAACAGGAATATGTATTATCTTTATGGAATATTTAATTTATTGCTATTGTCATATCAATACATACCGAGTAAATGTAAATAACAAATTTGTTTTCTATATTTATATGGCTAAATTCATATTTTAAAATATGGATGAAATTATAATTTTTCAGATAATTGATATATATCGATTAAGTAACAGAAGTTCATAATGTCTTCGACATTCTTGCCTTTTCTATAACTGCTTTTTCACTCTGCATAGTCAATCATTAAGCTTCATCTGAGGCCCAATTAACAGAAACACAAATTTAAAGCAGATTCATTCTAGTCCTAACTAAACTAAGTTCGCCCTCAGTTCCTTCACACTCATCTGTGTTTATAAGCGCCATAGCAGCGACAGATTAAGTTAATCAACACTTAGAAAACTAATCTGCAAGATCAAGTTAATCAATACACATAATAGAAATCTTCATCATCAGCTTAACCATGTTCAGGCTTAAGTATCCTATTATACCAAATGACGTGTAGTTGCCTTTCATAGACTGCCGACAGTTGCTGTGCACTGCAACAGTTTCGAAGGCTTTAAAGGCGATTGCATCTGGGCCAACATTATGCAGGTACTTGCTTTTGCCATGGCCTCTGCCTTTGCTTTGCGGCCTGCTATACAATTATGCAGGAAAGGACAAGTCTGGCTTGCCGTTTGGCAAACATTTATATGGATTCGTTGTTCGAGGGCAAAAACAGAAATTACCATTTTATTATTGCAGGCATTGCCGACGCGTCGTCGGTACGTGAATGATGCTGCTGATGCTGATGCTGCTGCTGCTGTCTCCCATGCTCCAGTTATTGAATTCACATTGAAATTAGTAATGTATATATGCATGGACACGAACTATCTCTGCACTGAACAAGCCCAATCACAACAGACAGCAAGCACTCTGGCTGTAAAAGGCAGATAAAAGAGACAGCGAAATAAATATATATATTTATGTTTCATGTTTGTTTTATGTTTTAGTACAATGGAGATCTTCAGGTAGACTTTGCTTTGTAAAATAAATATTTCGCCTACGAAGCTAAAATAGTCTTGTCGCCATCGGAACAGTCGACCAGAGTGTTGTCAGCATCCTCGAGCTTTGAATTAGTGAAGCTTTCTTCAAGTTTGGAAAAAATTTCAGGTCTTATACCTTCGTTAAGTTGAATTTTGGTCGCGATGTCTGAACCCTTATTGGTCGCGGCATAGCCCTCATTCATGTGTTCATTCAATTCCGTGGCGGAGTCGTACACTGTACTGCCCTCGGAATCGGTCAGTTCGTTGGGCTCTATCAAGACGCCGGCCACATAGAAATGATCTTCGAGCATCGTTTTCCACTCATCCAGATAGGTCTTGAAGTCGCGAGACTCGAAGCGAGCTGTACTCCGGATATACCACATTATATCGGTGCCGGCAAGCGTCTCGTAGTTGCCATTGGGTCCAAAGTCGTGCGGAGCACACGAGACATCGTAGATGGTGCCGTGCAGTGCAATCAAATATCGGCCCTTGGGGTTATGTGAGTCGTAGTGCTCAAGCTTCTTTCTGGTCATACGAAGATTTTGCAGAGGCGCCGGTATCTTGACGTGTCCCTCCTTCTCATAGTCCTCATCATCGTAGGTGGGATAGTCGCGACGCACAAGCATATAGGCCATGTAGCCCACGATGCACGTCAATGCCACGATTCCCAACGGCGAACTGAGCACATCTCGTAGCTGCTCGCTCCACGTACTGCTTGGAAGCGAAGACATCATAGTTAATGTTGTTTTACTATTTTCCTAGCTGCAAGAGAATGACAATGACTAATTTGGTAGAAATTGGTATTGAAATGCCTACTAAGTTGTAATGAAATATGTGAATTGTACTTTAGAGAGAGATCTTTGATGGGAACTAAAAAAATATTTTTAAAATATCTAAGTTATGTTACATGTTATATAAAAAGAGAGAGATCTTTGATATGAAGTAAAAAATATTTTAAAAATATTTAATATTACATGTTATATATAAAGAGATCTTTGATGGGACTTAAAAAAATATTTTAAAAACATTTAAGTAATATTACATTTTATATATAAAGAGAGATCTTTGATGGGAATTAAAAAAATATATTAAAAATATTTAAGTTATGTTACATGTTATATATAAAGAGAGATCTTTGATGGGACTTAAAAAATATTTTAAAAACATTTAAGTAATATTACATGTTATATAAAAAATATATATTTTATTTTTAATGTTTTATAAATCAATTCACATATTCATATGAGTCATATATTAAATTATTTCTTGAATTTTATCCTGGTCTCTTCCATGTTAAACTAAGAAAGGCGAGGCTTAATTTGAATGTCTTGAACAGCTCCTCTGCGAGCCATAGAATATAATGATTCGTTGCAACTTAGAATCCTCTAATCGACTGGCAGATGCCATGTACTTTGCTGCAAGTTCATGTTACAACATCTGCAGCATTTGTTATGCATACTACAAGTAGTCGACTAGCTAGATACCCTATGAACCCGTTCGAGCTGGCTTTGCAGCAGCTGATTGTATGTCTATAGCCTGTGACTAATTGGATTGAAAGTTCAGGCAGAAGACAGAAAGAGACACAGCTGAGTCTATCATCGGTCTGTCCGTCTGTTTCTCAGCTTATGAATGAAAGTATATTTAGGATCTTGAGAGCACTTATTGCTTCTTAGGGCACTCAAACACTTTTTCTTCTTACATGAGAGGAAGGCAGGCTTATTTTAGCTTTTCTTACCTAAGTGCCATACTCTTGAAAGTTTTTATGTGAAACGTTTTTGGCGCTTCAAAGCTTCAACTTTGACTTTAATTTTGCTTTAAATTAAAATTAAAAAATAAATATTTTCTTAAGCATATTTTGAGAGGGAGAATCTTAACGGCAGCAGGCCTCACCTCGGTCAGGCATACCCTGTGTACTCATTTACTGCCAAACAGGGTATTAAAGGGAAATTTGAAAACTTGTGCCACAGCATAATTAATAAAGTAAGTTTAACTTTTTACTGCTTTTAATCTCTTTGCAGGTCTGGTGGTCGCCTTGCCCCAGCCGAGAGTGTCCCGAAGAGCCCGAGTTGGACTTGGCTGTGCACCAATGCGTTGACTATTGTCTCATGCAGGAGCAAAGGAATCCCGAACTTTATACAGATTTGGGGGAGCGTGGCAGGACCACAGCACGAACAACAACAGCGCGGACAACTACAACTTCGAGCACAACGACGACAGCGAGGGCAATGCCCAGTCCAAGTTCAGATGCATCGGAGCCAACTGTATTGACCACAACAACAACAACAACAACAACATCGACGACATCTTCACCAGCGTCATCGTTACCAGCATTATTTGCAACGCAAACGAGAAGCAGATATCAAGACGCACTAAATATGCCATCGACCATGTTTCCGCCTGCATTGTCCCTGCAACTGCAGCAGTCAGCATCATCAGCAGCAGCAGCAGCATCAGCAGCTGAATTGCCAGCGATGTCCATGCAAGGTTTGAATCGTAAGTGTCACTTCTACACGATGATCCCAGCTACTATTGACCATCTTCCATCTTGCGTTCAGCGACTTGAACAGCTTCAGCCCCCCCCCCTCGTTCCTACCCTCTATTATCATTACTCTGCCACAAGCTGCTTGTTAGCCGTTAGTTTTCTTGTCAGCGCAAACACCAGTCGACCTGACTCCTTGGCTCTTTGTCCGTGTCTTGTTAGTTTTTCTAGTTTAATAGGTTTGTTTTTGCCATTCGCGCTGAGTTGCAAGCTAAAAAATGTGTGTCACAAATGTCTGCCGAGAAGGAGTTGAGGCTTGACTTCTCAATGTTTAACGGAAAATACATGAAATGCTTTTTATAAAATGTCAACTATATTTCTAGAGCAGTCACTTGCTTTTATGCTCTTGTGTAGATATAGAAGCTCTTTAGCTTTAATGTTATTTAAGATAACTTTAAAGCAGAAATTGCGCTAAATCGATATTTATCGGTTTTCAATTTGTTCAGCTTATGATAATCCGGAATCAGAGCTGTTAGAGTTCGAGCTCAGACTTTAGTTTATTTAGCAAGAGTTTCAAGTTAGCCAAAGAATAAATTTTAGTATGTTTGGGGAATACCTATAAAGGGTAACTTATATTCCACTTGATGAAACATAGTTTCATTTTGTAGTTTTTTTCTCAAGCTGCCTTTAACAAGCCATAAATTTCATTATTTACAATCCATAAAAGCTGCCATAAGGCCACACTGAACAGATAAGGCCAGCAGAGCTGGGTTACGCGCCCAAGGACGCAACTATAAATCTTAAGCACATATTAATTAAAGAATAATCATAAATTACTAGAGACACGTGAGAATAGTATTGATATATACGACTTTAAGAGTATATCTAGACAATCATATATGTATTTGATCAAGGAGGCTTAGTCAACTTAAAGACTTTCACTATTTTATGGGCTACAAGCCAAGTTCTCCCTATTGAACATCGTAAATTGATTGAGTTAAGATTTGCATTGCTGTCTATAAATACTTAAGCTCCATTCACACACATACTTATCGCGCGTGTTCTGCTCAGTTTCCACAGGCAATTCAGGCACTGCTGACAGCAAATCGGAGCCGAGCATCAGTTGGGTGCATTCGGAGAATGCGGATGAGACATACTTTATGCTGCAGATGCATCCCGATTTGGCCGACCCCACCGAGCAGCTGGGCATGGAGATTGAGCAGGATGACAACGAGACGGTCACCGACATTAGACAGCGATTTGGCGAGGACAGGCTTGTGAAAATGCAAATCAATCTCACTGACATGGATGACCTGGATTTGCGCTGCGGCGGCCTGGTGCGGCGCACGAACATGTCCTATGTGAACTCTGGAGCCGTGCGATGCATGATGCAACGCTGCACGTTTACGCTAAACGCTCCAGAAATCTGCCCACCTGATTACAAGGAAACGGACGATACAATATTCTGGATATACTTTTTATTACGGTACGTTCAAGTGCCGTTCAAATTAAATCGATTAGGACTATTTTTAGTTTTAATGTGCAGCGAGTAGAAAAAAAATTAGAAACTTGAGGCGTAATGCTCGTTCACGTTTCTGAAATCAGCTGCAGCTTTACCTAATATATTTTCTTTAAGCTGGAAAATGGCAACACTGAAGATTCTGGCGCTCAAGCTGTGCAAGACTTTGTTCTTTTTCCGATTATCCACGCTCCCAGCAGTCATAGAATCTGATATAATATTAAAGAAAGTTCCACTATGAATCACTTGATATATTTTAAGAATCTAGTGGAAGATATTCTAATTAGCAAATTAAAATAAAACGACAGATTGATGTATTTACCTGCACTGCTTTTAAGGAGAATATGCTTTAGGCATATGTTACGTATGGAAGAGTCAACTCGTCTATCTGCTTCCCTACTTCAATTTAATTGCAACTACTTCCAACATTAAGCGTATAAACTAAGGATGAATAAACATCTAAAGCTTTTGGCTGATCAATATTTGAGACTCTAATTGGAAATGTATAGGAAGTTCAGCATGTAGAGTATGTGAAGGCTGTGTATATAAATGCTATGCATTCATAAGCACAGAGCTAAGCAATAGAACAGATATGGCAAAAAGCCAATATACCCATAATAGTTCGTAAGCAAGTACAAAAACATAGCATAGAAACGAACAGCAGGGAATTATGTGACTAGCAACTGGGTGCAGGGCTCAGGGTATGTGCTAGTCGAACCCTCCCGGCTAGAGCGCTGTTACTTGTTATACTTAAACACTCTCAAATTCTGAAAAATCGGGCTATTATGCATGTCATGCAGTCGATAGACTCTCGCTAAAAATTAATTATATACTCTGCTTCCTTTTAGTTTTCTAGCTACAACAATGTTGTCAGCCGGCGTTACCATAATGGATCCCATTGCGCTGACGATGATAGAGAAGTTTGGCGGAGACTTTGGGCGCGAGCGCTTGTTTTCAAGCATTGGCATGGCCATTTTTTCGCCCATCACTGGAATTATGATTGACTACTCGTCGCGGGGACTGGGCTATACGGACTATTCGGCTGCGTTCTATACGTACGATGTGCTGCTGGTCATATCGACAATGTCTGTGTTAATGATGCCGCTGGGCGAGAAGCTGCCGGCGGATAATGTGTTCCGGGATTTATGGAATCTATTGAAAATGCCGCACGTGATTGCGTTCATAATATTTCTATTTGTGCTCGGAAATTTCTGGGGCTTCATCGAAAGCTTTCTATTCTTGTATCTCAAGGAGCTGGGCGCTCCCAATTACTTGTTAGGTACGTTCCAGCAGCTGTTCCACAGCTAATGGCTCATGCATTACACTCGTCCATTCGCAGGCATAACAATTACTGTGGGCACTGTGAGCAGCATACCATTTCTCTATGGTGCCGAGAAAATCACACGCATATTTGGCCACGTTAATTTGATTATCATTGCGTTCTTTTCGCACGCCGGACGCCTGGTGGGCTATTCCTTTATCGAGTGAGTGGGCTAGACATGTGCGCCTAATCTAATTTGATGGCAACATCGTATTTCTTTTCCATTGCCAGAAATGCCTGGTGGTGCTTTCCATTCGAGGCCATGGAATCGCTCTCCTGCCATCTGATGTGGGTGGCAGCGGCCACCTACTGCTCCCTGCTGGCGCCCAAGACCCTGCTGGCCACCCTGATTGGCGTCCTTGGCATGGCTCACTTCAGCTTGGGCAAGTGCAGCAAACATCGATCTTATATCTCTGATAAAACACGCTCTGCAATCAAATAACATTGCTTGTTCTCTCTCACTCTGTCTCCCTCTCTCTCGTGCAGGACGTGGCAGTGGTA